TCTTGACGGTCTAGACGGCTACAATATGCTATAATATTCTACATATCTATGATAGTTAATCTTGCAAGTATTTATTGTTTTTGGAGCTTTGTAGATAGTGCTGTAAGTTTTTACGATCAATCAGCATGAGGTTATATTAATTTTAATAACAATTTACGTAGTGTCCTTAGTTAGTCGTACTTGTGCGAGACGCTTAAATCGTACTTGGTACGACTTAGGTGACTTAGGCTTTAGAAATTCTTATTTCGACCGATTTTTTACCTTCTTCTTTCTTTTCTATTTTTGATTTTTGATTTTTGTAATTTGGTAGGCCATTATGTTAAAACGAGTTTATAATCGTTGGAACAATGAAGACATGGAACAGGCGTTAGGGGGGGATCCTGCTTTAGGAGCCCTAAAAAGAGCGTTCTTTAGGGAATTTTTTTAGGACAGAAAAAAAGGTGACCCTAGTGAACTTTTTAGATTATTTTACTACATGTTTGAACAAGAAAAAAACAATTTTTGTACAGAAAAATATTGAAACGCAGCCGATTTTTATGCACATCTGTGCAACGCTTTTAAAACTAATTAAAAAACCAAAAAAAACTAAAGAAATTAAAAAACCAAAGAGAATTTTAATTTTCATAGTCTTTCCTTCTATTTGAACTAAGAAAAACCAAAAAAATTGTGAAATTGTAAAATTTTCTCAGGTTTGAAGAAAATTTTCCTTTTTTTGAAAAAAAAAATTGTTTCAACTTGCTAAAAAAGTTGTTCAAAAATATTTTTCGTGCATTTTTTTAGTTCAAATAGAAGGAAAGACTATGAAAATTAAAATTCTCTTTGGTTTTTTAATTTCTTTAGTTTTTTTTGGTTTCGTCTAGTTTTTTTACAATCACGCCCGCCAGTTTAGAAAAATCGTAAAAACAAAAACCCGGGAAAACGCGTTTAAAGTTTGCGGTCAGAAAAAATGTTAATTTTCAATTACTTACAGTAACAATACGCTAATCAGCTATTCCTGCGCCATAAATTAGACCTTCAACTTCCTCAAACAATTCATTTTGATGCATTTGCTCAAGTCTACGGGCTGTGCAAGCTTCCTTGCTGGAAAAGGATGTACGCCGATTTTCCCTCTCGATCCGTTGTGTCGAAAGTATCCGTATGCGTCTTACATAGCTGGCCGATTTTCAAATCGAGCAACTGCATAGTATTTAAAATTGCAGAATATCCTTCGTTGAACATTCCTGCAGCCATGTAGGCAGCAATTTCAACGATTTTTAGGCCAGAATTCAGGTGTTTCGGGCTCATGCACCAGATAGTGGAATTGAAAGATTCATTCGAATTTTGCGTGTGCCCGCCTAAGCATCGCGTCAAAAGTTCGTCACTTGATAAATCTTCGTAGATTGGACGAATATGTTTCTCCACATTTTCGTCAATCAATCGATCAGGATGCTTGAAAGACGCAAGAGAATTCGTGGCTTCAGCTTTGCGCCATTCACACCAGCTTTCGGCGCCTGCCGGACAATTCTCGTGGCGAGGAGATTCATCACTCGAACAATAATGATCCAGTGTTGCCATTCTTGCTTTCTTCATAGCATCGACAGAATTAATGTTTCTTCTTATAGCCAAACCATAGTAGATTGTTAATTTTTTAATTAGGCTCTCCGTCAACCGCTTTTTCCCTCCGAGCTTCTCATCCTTCCTTTTGTTTCGGAATCGAGTACCCATACGCTTTTATACATGCCCCACGCACTCATTTTTAGTAACAGGGCAATCGTCACCGTATGGATTCATTTTAAGTATACCAGCAAAAGTTTTCGAATCGCCGTCGCGGATGTAATTCGTATATTTTACTCCGAATTTTTCAACGGATCTTATGAACATTTCAACGATGGAGTCCACTTCCATCTTCCCGACTGAACCGTCGTGATTAGAGGAGCATGATTCTTTGTGATCTTCATACCATTCCGCAAATTGGTTATCGTCTAATTTATTTTTATTTAGGGCGCATGAGTGACAATATCCACTTTTAACGAGAAGGTCAACTACTTTGCCAGAATAATGTCCAATTAGAGTTGTTACACCGAACAATGAAGTGAAGCCACGTTTTTTCCACAATCCATCGCCAGAAACCTTCAAACAATTTGCGGTTCGTCCATTTTCTACATTTTTTTCTTGTTCTTCTTTGACAGCTTTTTCACATACACTTTTAAATATTGATTTTGACGCTGAGTAAAAATGCTGCACTATTTTATCGTATGTTGATTTCGCTAAACCTTGACATATGTCCATTAATCCACAAAACACATTGATGCCTTCTCGTCCAACACCAAGAAGCCTCGTCACAAACACTATTCGTCTATTTATTTCGTAGCCGGTGTGTATTAACGGTCCTGAATTAATTTCTCGTTGACCACACATACATGACATCACAATTTTAAAACCCAAGCCTCGATGTCCACTCTCTGCAAATGTTATGTTTTGTTTACAAGTTTTACATAACACCATCTCAGAAATTGCAAGAAACACTGTCACAAATTCAATTATTCGGTAACAGTGACCTGGATCTACACTTATATTTTCGGTGCTTGCGGTGGCTAATTTCTTCGCACTACTGTTTGTACTATCCTCCGCACTGTCTGATTCACTTGTGAATCGATTCCCGTGAAATCTGCGTTTTCGTGGCTTTGCAGAACTATCACTGCTCGATTTATCGCCTTTGGGATAACTTGCCATGATATAACACAAAAAGGAATTACTATTTCACAAGAATAACAAAATAACGAACGTGAGTTTATTTCCTTCGGCGAGTATACTAAGACATACTCCGCGTCTTGATTTGCATACAAATATATACATCTTCCAGGTATACAGGGAAGGGAAAAACGAAAGAGTGGGAAAGGGGGTGACTTTCCTCAAATTGGGAATTCCCACTTCCCCCTGCCAGGGGTCATCTGGCACAAACCGTCGTACGGTGACCCATCCGACACTCGACCTCGTACAAATTACCGTAACAGTAATAAACCCAAGGATCACCTCGACTTTTTCATACTACATCCGGAACCGAAAAATACAACTATGTATTTTACTACAGCCGGGTAAAAATGCATAAGTAATGGTTCCTTGGCCTTTTATTACTTCAATATTCCAAAACTTTCTTAAATCTATAATTATGATCTACAATAACTTATAGTACACAGTCCTTCTACTATTGTTTCGAACGACTGTTGAACCTTTGCAGGTACATAGTTCGGAGTTATTTTGTAACGCGGTAGTAGGCAGTTGCCTACTACCAGGCGCGAACGCTACCAAAAACCAACGATAGATGGCGTCTAGCCGTGACCGCGGTTCTC